TTTTTTTTTTTTTTTTTTTTTTTTTTTTTTTTTTTTTTTTTTTTTTTTTTTTTTTTTTTTGCTTCTTCCCATTTCAGTTATCATACCATATTTTGGTTTCATATTACCTAATCTGGAAAGCCGGTAAATATTCTCAATTATATGAGAGTTTGGTAGAATTATCAGCTTTTTGCAATCATCTTGTTCTTTACCGTCTTCGATACAAGTATCTTGTAGTTATTAAAAAATGTACGAGTGTTTGAGGGTTGAGTCGGGTCAGGCCAGATTATGACATTTTCTAGACCGAACTCAATTATTTGCATTATAAATTTTTTAGCATAAACAACCGTTGTTATATAATGAATCCAACTCAACCCAACTCGACCATCAATTTTTTAGGATAGATAGTTGATTCAGGTAGTTCGAGTTATTTATTCAATTTTTTTTTTATTTTGATAAAATAAAACATTAGTTTGTAAAATATATGTTTATTTAGCTTTATACGTTTGATTACGATTTGCAAATCAATTTTGTGTATATATTTGTAAGCAAACATGTATATCTTAAAATTAAACGTAAGTTTGGTTGTAAGAAGATTCAAACTAATAAGTTTTAGGGTTACCGAACTCATCCGAACTCAATTCTAACATATGTTTTAATAAATTACTTTTACTAGATCTTGTAAAAAATAAATAATTATGAAATAAAATAAATAGTATATATAATTGTATTGTACACAAAAAAAAAATTATATTTTAAAATTAATAATAAATTTAGATTGTTTTGGTTCAATCTAATTTTAGGAACCCATAAACCAACTCAATCATAAAAGTTTTTAGTTATTTGAATCTAGTCCAAATAAGTTCAGAACTAGATTGGTTCGGTCAATCCAATCTAGTTTCGGGAGAACCCTTAAACCAACTCAATGATAAAAGTTTTCAGTTATTTGAATTTAGTCCAAATAAGTTCATAACCTAACTCGAACCGCACAGGTTGGGTTGGGTTGATCGAATTTTTTGAGTCATTAGATTGATTTTGATATTAATTTGAGTATTACTTTGTTTGATGAACAGTGACAAGCAAACCATTGGGAATACAAGAAAGTCATATTCATATTACGTGCAACATTGTCCAAGATTGCTTTAATCTTAAGGTTTGTGAGTGCAAATTTGTGTTTTTGCATACCTAAGAGCCCGCCACCGCACTTCAGCTTCCACCATGAGAACATCAGTGATACCACTCAAAACTAAGAAGTGGCTCTCAACAACTATTCAATAAATACCATTATTTTCATCGCATTATGCTTTACACAAATGAATAAGACTATGATAAAACCATATATTTCAATATTCTATATTAGATTAAATTGAAAAATTACTTTTCGTTTATGATTTATGAGTTCGAGTCTGATTATTGTGGATGAGCGATTGATGTAGATGAGAGATGACTGCGTGAATTGCGTCGTTTTATAGAACGTTTTATATGGTCGTTATGTATCGTCATCAGCCTCAAGGTGTTATGACGCATCTACTATGGAGAGGGTCTAGCCTTACTCCGACCAGTGCTTTGCGTCGTCTGGTGACTAGTTTTCGTACCATTTGTAATGGCCCAAAGCAGATAAAGTTAGAGGTGTACATTCAACTCGGCAACCCGACAACCCGGACCAATCCAACCCGAACTATAAGGGTTGGGTTGCATTGGATTAGCATTTCGGGTAGGGTTGGGTTCATTTTTCTGAACCCAAACTAAATCGGTTCGGTTTCAGGTTCATGGGCAAAACCTTCGGATTGACTTGAGCGAAATAAAATATATAAAATGTATTAAAAATCGTTCTATATTAATGGGTTTGTTAGAGTGATACTGAGGTTTGTTTATATTATTTTATTATTTTTAAAAATATATGTAGTTGTCTTTAGTTTTATGATATATAATTTATTGTTTTGTTTATATTATTTTATTATTTTTAAAAATATATTTAGATACAATGTTAAACTATGTTAATATGTTACAATTTTCGCTTGTTCTTTTTTATTGAATTTGTTTTTTTTTTTGTCAATAATTATAGACTGATTTGGGTTTGTTTGTGAACTTTTAATATGTTTTATCTAATATATGTATCTCAATAATTATAAATGGTAGATAAATAAAACTTAAAAAAAAAATTTTGACAACCCAACCCGAACTTTTGGGTTGGGTCAAAAAAATCCCCGAACCCGACCCAACCCAGACCATGTACACCCATAGACAAAGTTGGGCTTGGCTGTTACAAATGGTATCAGAGCCAAACACCAGGCGGTGTGTTAGCAAGGACGTTAGGCCCTCAAAGGGGTGAATTGTGAGATCTCATATTGGTTGGAGAGGGGAACGAAACATTCCTTATAAGGGTGTGGAAACCTCTTCTTAATAGAAACATTTTAAAACCATGAGGCTAACGATGATACATATCAAGCCAAAGCGAACAATATCTCCTAGTGAAGGGCTTGGATAGTTATACTTTAGTTGTCATATATTTTGCAGGCAAATGTCTTTGCTGTTGAAAATCCAAATCTTTCAACTAAAAACAATAAATAAGGATGTTAGGAGCATTCTTCATTAGCCACTTCATGCTCAAGTCCTTATGAGCTTCTTGATTAGCCACTTCATGCTCAAGTCCTTACTTTGTGTTAGTAGGACCCCACAGGTTGAGTCAAAGTTCTATGCTCTTTCCTTTTGGGTGGGATTATGTGCAGGAGAGAGAAGAATATGTGGTGGCAAGTAAGGACCCACAGGTTGAGTCAAAGCTCTATGCTCTTTCCTTTTGTGTGGGATTATGTGCAGGAGAGAGAAGAATATGTGGTGGCAGCGAACAGCAAGACTACCACTTAATTTTGACTTTTCACTCTATAAGATGAGCACAATTCATTAAACAAAATGATACAATACTATGAAAGTTATTAAAAGACCAGAATCAGTTCATCTCCTCGTCCCTCTCGCGCGCCACGACCTTGTCTATACCCGAAAACATAAAATAAATTGAAGTAGATGTATTATAATACACAAAAATACAGGAGTCATCACATGGTTGATGTTTTCACCTTCCTCACCAGTCCGGTACTACGACCTTGTCTTAAATAAGCCTAAAATCAGAATATGATTTTAGGTCCCATTAGACATTGAAAGACTTACATGTGTGTATTTTTTTATCTTAACAATAGTGTCACTTAAGGTGTTTTTTTAAATAGTCATTCTCTTCCTAACATTTTTTCGTTAAAAACATGATTCATAATTACTACTTTATATTAATTTAAATTTTATTGTCAAGTAAATATTTGAAATATTTCTATAAAGGCTTCAAGATTTCAGGAAAACATTTGAAAACTCTCCTAATATGTATGTTGCATACCTTAAAATTAGAGTAGTTACACATGATTTACATTTTCATCCATGAATTTTTACTGATTACGATGTTTTGGTTGGTAAGGTTAATATCTATAAATGTTTAAAAGAATTAAATAAATTTTAAAAAAAATTTATGAAGAAATTAACAATACTTTTTTATCTTTTGAGTTGTTCTGCTGGATCGGTCGTTCAGGACCTTTGGTCTCTATTCGGACCCGATGAATAAAATGGGAACACTTCTTATGGACTCGTTAAGAATGATTCTGATCTAGTTCATGACCTATTGGAAGTAGAAGGCGCTCTGTTTGGATTGGGATCCTCACGGACAAAAAAAATTGTAGTCGGTTTGATAGTGATCGAGTGACATTGCCTCTTTGACCCGAACCTAGGAATCTCTTCGATATGATACAAAATGGATCAACATCATAATTATTTTAAATTAATTAACCAAAAGATAACGCTAAAGACCAAACTGAGCATTACTGACAACTAGGAGTAAAATGTAAAATATTCGAACCAATAACCAAATGAAAACTAAACTTCGAAGTATAATAAAAATGTAACTGTGGGATATCACATCAGTTGGAGAGGGGAACGAAACATTCCTTATAATGTTGTAGAAACTTCTCCCTAGCAGACACGTTTTAAAACCGTGAGGTTGAGAGCAATATGTAACGGCTCAAAACGGACAATATTTTTTAGCGGTGGGTTTGGACGGTTGTAACATATCAAAGAAGACAATTTTTGTTAACAGTAAGTTTGGACTATTGTAACAGATCAAAGCAGACAATATCTATTGGCGGTGGACTTGGGCTGTTGTAACCGGTCAACCCGAAAAATATTTCTTAGGGGTGAGATTAAAATGATATATATTTTTTTTTATTCTTTCCATCTTTTGGAAGTAATAAAAACTTGATCCCAATTCATTTCTTGCATCCCTTTTGTGGTCTTTACATTAAGTTGGTAAATGGTAACCTCAGTATATTAAATTCATAACATCCCATTTAATGTTGTATTTCTAAAATTCATATTAGCAAATTATTTGAATATTGTCCCAAAGATTATACAATGGGATGGACAACAATGAAATGAGCCTCATCCCATCAAACCATTTACAATACAATATAATCGCAAACAAATTTAGTCTCAACTTGACTTTCATTGTTACGATGATATTGCTCCTTGTCTCTTCTTTTGGTAATTTTCAACCTTGTTTCTTTTTCTTTTTTTTTTTTTTCGTTTTTTGATAACTTTCCAATAGTAGAGTTATATCAAGTCTTTTACCGTTAATGTTGCACTTATACTCACCATGTTCTCATTAATTGCTCCTTTTATTCTAATTAGTATACATGAAATAGCCAATTGTGGTTTAATATGAAAAGAAGATTAATTTCCATAAATCGAGCTTAATTGTACACTTAATTGAGCTATTTGGTAAAATTCTAGAACATTTATGCTGAACCATGATGCTATAGCAAATTTGGAAACAACACTACTTGCAAATCTGGAAATAAATTGCAGACCTTGATGCTGAAGCAATCCGGAAAGCAAACTTTTCGGGGATGACCTGGAAATTTTAATCCACATCAGCAGTCCACGTGGATCATTGCTACCAAATTAGAAACATCGTAGGTGGACAATTTTATCCTTTCTCAGCCCTAAATGAGAAGAAACAAGCATTATAAAAGGAAAATGATACCTAAAATAGGGAGGGGCCACACTTGAGGAGAGAAATCGGATTAGACAGCACCAGCCTTCGCTACTGTGAACTGCTGTGAAACCAGAGAAGAAGAAGAAATGCTGTGAAACCAGAGCAGAAGAAGAAAATCCTAATCCAACAGCTGTTGATAGCAGAAGGAAAAGGAGACCAACAAGGATTGATTATGGTAAAGAGGTGGACGCGAGAGCTCAAGAGGAGGGAACTTCCATTGACGAACGACAACAAAACGGGATAACTCTCTATTTCCTTATTCTCTTTTCTCATTCCATCAATTTTACATGATTGAGATGCGAATTCCTTTGTTTAATTCAGTTTGTATGGAGAGCTTGTTGGATCGGTATGACAACCCTAGAAGGGGTGAAGAGGTTTTCAACAATAATTTTTTTTTAATAACAATAAAAATAGGTTTCAACAATAATTTTTTTTTTAATAAAAAAACTATAAAAATTAACAATAATTTAGAATTTAAATAGAAGAGGAATTTAAATAGGAAAAAACTTATACCATGTAATAAAAATTAACAATAATTTAGAATTTAAATAGAAGAGGAATTTAAATAGGAAAAGGGTTAGAAAAGAGTAGTTTTAGAGTGGTTCGGTCAAACTCGACTTACTCCACTCCCCAAGCGCTTCTTGTGAATTTAAATAAAACTTTCTGACTCTTTCCTCAGATCAGAGCCCGAGCCCAACCGCTACACCGCTTCTTTTACGAGTGCAAGAGAAAACTCAATCCTTTCTACGGTTCAAGATCAAACCGGTACACTGCTCTTTTTATGAGTTCAAGAACAAACTCAATCCTTTGCCACGACTCAGGATCAAACCGATACAATTTTCTGAAATCTTATAGAAACACATCACAACTCTCTAGAGTTATAAATTTAGAATTTTCTCACAATACAATAGACATCTCTATCAAGAATAAGATATACAATAAATAGAATTGGAAGCTATAAACAAGAAATAGAATGGGAAGTAATAAACCAAAAATATAATTGGAAGCTTTGGAGAGAGCAACAATGAAGGCTTTTAAACAAAAAAAAATTTAGATCGAGAAAACTATGGAAATTGTGTATTGTGTTCTATGTTGTGTGTGTTGTGTTCTAAAAAATATGAAGAGGTGATGAGAGAAATAGAATGAGGCTTGTGTGTGTTGTGTTCTAAAAAATATGAAGAGGCGATGAGAGAAATAGAATGACGCTTTTAAACAAAAATTTTAGATCGAGAAAACTATGGAATTGTGTATTGTGTTTTATGTTGTGTGTTGTTTTAAAAAATATGTAGAGGTGATGAGTTTAAACCGTGATCAAGTTGTAAGTGATGAGTTTAAATAGTGATCCAAGTCCTAAAAATAGGAATCGATACGGACCACTGTGTAAATTAAGAAAAATAATATTTATTTATTTTTAAATTTATCGTAAAAAATTATAGACCACATATTTCATTATATATATATTATTTTAAACAAATATTAAAAACATTTTAAATCCATTTTTATTTTATATATATTATATATAAATATATATAAATAAATAAATAAATAAATAAATAAATATATATATATATATATAAATGTAATAATATAATAAAAAAATATTAATGAAAACCATGCACGTAAAGTAATTGGAAATTGGAAAGTTTTATAAATAAATATTATAAATGTAATTGAAATAATTTTATAATTCAAGAAAACTAGTTTTTATGGAAATAGTAATGGAAAATTTTTCTTTTAGTTTAAAGCAATTGAAAATTCCACCATTTGTTAAGTCTACCAAAGTTATAAAGGTTATACTTCGATTGGTCCATGATATCAATTTTGTTCGGTCCATGATGTCAATTTTATCACCACATCATCAATTTTGTCACCACGTCATCATGTCAGATATCTTGTTTTGAATTTGATTGGTCCATAATATCAATTTTGTTGCCACATCATCACGTCGGGTATCTTGTTTTGACTGAAACTTCTCCATTTTATCTCTAATTTGAGTGAACCAAAAAAGACATTGAAATCGTTATTCCCAACCTTACACTATGAACAAATACTGAGAATTGTTAATAATTGGAGGTAGGTTTGTTATCATCAAAATATCAATTAATTAATTAATTAAAATTAATTAATTTGAGATTAAAGGAAAAAAAAAAACAACAATCTCCCCTTTTTTAGGATGACAAATCATTTAAAAAAAATAGTATGAAATCCATAAAACCATAAAACTTAAAATAATGAACATGTCCAAATAATAATATTGTGACAATATCGATGCATCATCATAGGCATTCTAATATATCATCAGAAATTTGAAATTCACTCACATCCATATACTCTCTTTATATTAATGCTTCAATGAATTATGAAACATCACAACAACGAAGTGATTCATTAATTATAAAATAACAACGAAGTGATTCATTAATTATAAAATAACAAATTTAGAGAATATTTTTTCTAATTTTCTCTCCCTTTGTAATCATTAAAAATTTTCTCCTCTTTGTAATCATTAAAAATTTTCTCCTCTTTGTAATCATCAAAAAGAACAATAAAAAATAATAAAAGAATGACATGCTCCCCTAAGAACATGCATTTAAATAAGATTATAAAATTCAAGTTATATCACACCGAGTAATACCAATCTCAAATTCAAGATATATCACACCGAATAATATCAAGTTCAAGCTTATTTTTGCAAAAAATTTCTTCATTTAACGGCTTGTAAAAATATCTGCTAATTGATTATTAGAGTTTACAAAATCAAGAATAATATGTCCATTTTGCCCCTACTCTCTAATAAAATGATGTCTAATGTCAATATGTTTAGTTCTAAAATGATGAACAGGATTTTTGGTTGAATTAATAGCACTGGTGTTATCACAAAATATAGGCACACTATCAAACTTTAATCCAAAATCACAAAGAGTTTGTTTCATCCAAAGAATTTGAGCACAACAACTAGCAACCGCAATATATTCCGCTTCCGTAGTAGATAAGGCAACCGAATTTTGCTTTTTACTAAACCAAGAAAGTAATGAACTACCAAGAAATTGACAAGTTCCACTAGTACTTTTACGATCAAGTAAACTTACAGCAAAATCCGCATCAGAATATCCTACCAATTTAAACTCAACATTTCTAGGATACCACAATCCTAAATTAATAGTCCCAAGTAAATATTCAAATATTCTTTTAACAACATGTAGATGAGATTCTTAGGACAAGATTGAAACCTAGCACAAAGACATACATTAAACGTAATATCAGGTCTACTGGCAGTCAAGTAAAGTAAAGATCCAATCATACCTCGATAAAATTTTATATCTACACATTTACCTATTTCATCCTTATCAAGCTTGGTAGATGTGCTCATTGGAGTTTTTGCAATCTTACCTTCATTGAACTTAAACCTTTTGAGTAAATCCTTGATTTACTTCTCTTTATTTAGGAAGATACCATCTTTCAGTTGTTTGATATGAAGTCCAAGAAAGAAACTGAGCTCTCCCATCATACTCATCTCAAACTCATTATGCATACATTTAGAAAATTCTTCACATAAAGGAGTAGAACCAAATATAATATCACCCACATATATTTGCACTAATAGCATATCTTTTTCTTTAATTTTAATAAAGAGATTAATGTCGAGCTTACCCATTTTAAAATCATTCTCAATAAGAAAATTACTAAATCTATCGTACCAAGCTCTTGAAGCTTGTTTTAAGCCCTAAAGAGCCTTTTTCAACTTATAATATGATGTGAAAAGTCAATTTTCAAATCCTGGAGGTTGTTTTACCTAAACTTCCTCCATAATATAACCATTTAAGAATGCACTTTTCACATTCATTTGATATAATATAAAATTTTTGTAAGAAGCAAATGCAAGTAACATTCTAATAGCTTCTAATCTAGAAAAGGGTGCAAAAGTTTCTTCATAATCTATACCTTCCTCCTGACAATAACCTTGAGCTACAAGTCTAGCTTTAGGCATTGCTTTCCTTCGGCAACCAAACATCACTTTTGTGGAATTCAATTTTGTTTGACCACACCCGTCGCCTACGCGTGCATGTTCAATCGTGCACAACACAACAACGTTGATGATGTTAATATAACACATGCGGAAGCAATTTGGATCTTAGGCACTCTAAGTACATCAATTATAGTAAATTAGCTAGCATGTTCAAAAGTATTCAAACTCAATGAGTTTAACCTTTTGTTGCTCCGGTTTCTTTTTCCTCACGAACTGGTTTCGAACCACCACTAGTGTCTTCTCCACTATTCTCCGGCCTTAGAACGGGATTGTGGAATCCGGTGAATGACTAAACTTGGGAGGGATTTAGTATATATGAAAAGAGAATTTGTGAGAGGTTTTTCTCTAGGTTTTTTCCAAAAAATGAAGACCTTCCATGTACCATGATCACTCTATTTATAGAGTCATGTTTGCATGTTCATGCAAATTTGAGATCACCAAATTTTGACACTCAAAATTTCACTCAAATGTTTGGGATTATGTAGCAAGCATGCAAGTTTGAGTTCACAAAATTTTGACACTCAAAATTCCACTTAAATTTGTGGGGTTCATTTGGCAAGCATGCAAGTTTGGTTAAACCAAATTTTGAACCCTCAAAATTCCACTAACTCAAACATGGATTTTTCCATTAAATGAAGTCAACATTTTGACTTTCTTCATTTTGATTCAACAATTAATTTGACTAATTAATTTCAAATTAAAGTAATATTAAATGATTAATTAAACTATTTAATTAATATTTAATATTAATTCAAATGCCAATCCCAATCCCAATCAATTCGGACACATATTTGATTAAGATATTTAAATCTTATTTAAATATCTCAGATTCTCTCTTTTTGTTTAATTCGTAAATAAAACAAAAATGTAGTTAAATATATCGTATATATGTAGCACATATTCTCTAATTTGAATTTGAACACTTCGAACTCACTCGTCACACTGTTCTATGGTTTAGTACGATATGAGCTAGCAGAGGGACCTAATGGACCTATAGATCATGGGCTCCAACGATCCAAGATTAAATAGTTAAACTCATTAACCTTGTTAACCAACATTCGTTAACTACTAGGCACTCCACTATAGCCTAGTAGTTTCACTCTCCTCACTATAGATATATTTCTATCCATTTGACATAATCATGATTAGTAAGTCGATTCTTCACATGTTGTTCGTAACTAGAGCTGGGTCAATTTACCGTTTTACCTCTAAAGTTACTTCTTGTTCCTTATTTCTCACTGATCCTCTAATGAACAATTGGTTTGTGGTCCAACCAGTAAACCGAATCCCTCTTAGGCCAATGAGAGGGTGGGGCCCCTTGTTCAGGACCTGGAGTCAATGCTTAAGGGAACTACCTCTCTTCTATCCCTAAAAGTGGGTAGGAGTGAATTCCATCTTACACCCCACGTCCCCAGCCATTCACCTAGTCTTACCCCTGGAATGGGAGGCCTATTGAGTCGGCGAACTCGAGCCACTCTCACCCATGCATAAGGATAATTCTGAATAAACAGGAGTTCCTGGTTAGCTCAGGATTAAAATCGAGTTACCTAGGTTATCGAATGAAAAGAAAACCAGTCTTAACAGTAAACGACATTATAAAGTGAGAGTGATTTTCTTCATGGTCCGATCTTATGCAATACTCATTGCATAGGACACCCCCACTCACATGTCTCCACATGTACAATTTAGTGATCACATTGTTTATGCTATATACAAAAGTGGGTCGCATCCATAGTGTCCCCAGGATAAGGTACTCAGCCTTATCCCCATACTATAGATCATCTTGACTATATACTTGAACTTGATTCACTCTTATGTCTCTACATGTAGTTCAAGTAATCATACTATAGTCAGAGTGTTCTTAGTTTATTGGATTTGGATTAATAATCGTAAAGTTCACTTTATTCAATAACAATCTTTACTGAATAAACAATAATAATAACTTTATTGAAAATAGAATATGTTTTTTTGTTTACAAACTATGAGTTTTAGGACATAAAACCCAACAAATTCCCACTTGGACTAAAACTCTAGTGGGGTTTTATAACGTTGAGCAGAGAGAAAGACATAAATACAATAAACTAGGGCATCACATACTCATGTCTTTTCTCCCACTTGCCCTAGATTAAATAACTCGTAGTCCTAGACTCACTAGGTGCCCTTCAAACACTTTAATCGTGAGGGGCTTTGTAAATGGATCAGTAATGTTGTGCTCTGAAGCTATCTATGTGACGATCACATCTCCTCGTTGCACAATCTCCCTTATGAGATGATATTTGCGCTCAATATGTTTTCCTCGCTTATGGCTTCTTGGTTCTTTTGAATTTGCAACTGCTCCACTGTTATCACAATAAAGAGTGACGAGAAGATGAATATTTGGAACGACTTCCAAATCAGTTAAGAACTTCCATGGTAGAATCAGCAATGCAACCTTGCTTTATGCTTTTCCATATTATTGCTCCTCCGTTCAGAGTGAAGACAAATCCTAATGTCGATTTCCTTGAATCTACATCGGTCTGAAAATCTGAGTCAGTGTACGCTGTAAGGATCAGATCCTTAGCATCATACATTAGCATATAGTCCCTCGTTCTCCTAAGATACTTGAGGATATTCTTAACGGCAGTCCAATGAGCACGTTCCGGATTTGACTGATATCTGCTGACAATTCCCACAGCATAGCATATGTCGAGTCTGGTACATAGCATGACATACATCAGACTACCGACTGCTGATGCATAGGGAATGTGTCTCATATCCTCAACTTCTTGAGGTGTCTTAGGACTTTGTTCCTTTGACTAATGAACTCCATGCCTGAAAGGTAATAATCCTTTCTTGGAGTCCTGCATCTTATATCGAATTAACATTTTATCGATGTACGATGCCTGAGAAAATGCTAATGTTTTGTTCTTGCGATTCCGAACAATTTAGATTCCAAGAACAAACTGAGCCTCTCCCAAATCTTTCATTTGGAATTGTGTCGCTCGCCAATGCTTAATGTTAGTCAGAAATCCCACATCATTTCCAATGAGTAAGATATCGTCAACGTACAACACCAGGAAAGCTACTGTAGAGTTGACTATCCTTTTATAAACATAAGGTTCGTCAACATTTTGTTTAAAGCCATAAGATTTGATCGCAGAATCAAACTTTATATTCCAGGATCGAGATGCTTGCTTCAACCCATAAATGGATCTTTTAAGCTTGCAAACCCTTTGCTCGTGATCCTGTTCAATGAACCCCTCTGGTTGAGCCATATAGATAATCTCTTCAAGATTGCTGTTTAGAAAGGCTGTCTTAACATCCATTTGCCAAATTTCATAATCATAAAATGTGGCAATAGACAAGAGTATTCTAATCGATTTAAGCATAGCAACAGGAGAGAAGGTTTTTTCATAGTCCACCCCCTCTCTTTGGGTATAACCCTTTGCTACAAGTCGAGATTTAAAGGTCTGTACCTTACCAGTTTGGTCTCGTTTCCTCTTATAGATCCATTTGCAACAGATAGGTTTTACCCCATCTGGTTGATCTATAAGTTCGAGACTGAATTGAAGTATATTGACTCCTTTTCAAGATTCATGGCTTTGATCCACTAATCTCTATCTTCATCATTCATTGCCTGTTTATAGGTCAATGGATCCTCAACGTCATCATCAGGTATGATGACTTGAGTTTTTGCCAAACCCAAGTAACGATCGGGTTGAGTTATATAACCCTCCCACTATGTCGAGACATTCTCAACTCTTGAGAAGGATGTGAATGACCAGAAGTGTCAGGTCCATCAACAACTCTTCTTGAAGGACCAGCTTGATCAACAACTCTTGTTGTTTTATCAGTAGCTTCTTTAGAGGTTGATGATTTCTTACGTGGTCTTCCTCTAAGAATGTAGCGTTTGTTGATACAAACACTTTATTTTCTTGAGGGTCATAAAACAAACCACCTTTCGTCTCTTTGGGGTATCCTACGAATAAACATAATTTTGAATGACGTTCTAATTTCTTGGGATTTTGCAACAACACATGTGCTGGACATCCCCAAATCCTAAAGTGACGTAAACTACCTTTACGCCCTTTCCATAACTCATAAAGTGTTTCTGAAACACTCTTAGTAGGAACCATGTTCAAAATGTATATAGCAGTCTCCACTGCATATCCTCAAAACGGATCGGGTAATTGAGCGAAACTCATCAAAGACTGAACCATGTCTAACAGAGTTCTATTTCTCCTTTCTGATACACCATTTTGTTGAGGCATACCAGGAGCTGAGAGTTGAGACCTTATTTCATGTTCTATCATATAGTCCTGAAATCTTAAGTCCATGTACTCTCTTCCTCAATCTGATCGAAGTGTTTTAATAGTTTACCTAATAGATTCTCAACCTCAGTCTTATACTCTCTGAATTTTTCAAGAGCTTCGGACTTGTGATGCATTAGGTAAAGATAGTCATATCTTGAATAATCATCAATAAAACTGATGAAATATTTATTACCCTCCTCATGCTTTGATATTCATTGGACCACAGAGATTTGTATGCACGAGCTCTAAGGTTTCTTTGGCTCTATAACCTTTTTCGAAAAACGGTCGTTTAGTCATTTTACCCTCAAGACAAGACTCACATGGAGGTAAAGAGTTGTCTTTTAACTCATCTAGAAGTCCTCTTTTAACTAATCCCTCAATCCTATTGAGATTAATGTGGCCTAGTCTTAAGTGCTAAAGATAGGTATTAAGAGAAATCTTTTATTGTTTATTTTGAGTTTCAGCTGTTTTAAACATCTCGGTATTTAAAATAGCTTTTGTTTCGCTCGGTTTTAACATATATATGTTGTTTTCTAGTTTTGTAGAACAAATATGAATACCTCATTTGCAAATGAACACTTCATTGATTTCAAAAGATACTTTATACAATTGTTCTAATAAACAAGAGATAGATATTAGATTTCTTTTCATTTCAGAAACAAAAAGTACATTATCTAATATAATGAATCTATCTCCAAAAAATAACTTTAAATTTCCTACTGATCTTGCTGAGACAACCTCTCCTGTTCCAACCCTGAGTGTTATCTTGCCGTCCGCAAGCATTCTCTAGGAGCTAGTTTCCTGGTAAAAAGAACAAATATGATTAGTGGCCCCTAAATCTAGTATCCAAGTTGAGTTATCATACTCTACTAAATATATTAATACTAAACATATTTCTACAACGAGTAAATCATATTAACCTTGTTGTGTCTTTTCGGCTTTCTTCTCTGCAAGGTATTTTGGGTCGTTTCTCTTCCAGTGCCCGTTTTCGTTGCAATGGAAACATTTTCCTTTATTTGCTTTTTGAACCTTGTGTGTACGGTTAGTAGGAATCTTATTTTTCCCTTTACCCTTCTTCTTCATCAAAACACTTGTAGAAGTTGAAGGTCCAGACTTATTTTTGGAGGACGATCTTCCTAGTAATTTCTTGGGGATAGCAACATTTGCTTCTCCTGTTTGTCTCTTGTTCGTTAAGAGGGACTGATAAGTCTATAGCTCATTGAGAAGAGAAGTCAAGTTATATTCTATTTTGTTAATTATCACATTTGTGCGGAACTGGAAGAAGCTCTTCGGAAGAGACTCCATGATAAAACTGACTTGACTCTTCTCATCAATGACAGATTCATTTTCTTCTGCCACATTGAAATCGACCATTAAGTCCAGAACATGTTCTCTAACTGAGGTTCCTTCTTTCATACGGCAGTTGTAAATGTATTTTATGGCATCATGTCTAAGGGAGAAGGATGGTTGTCCAAACATCCCTTTCAGAGATTCCATAACCTCTTTAGCAGTACCCATAACATCGTATTTCATAGCCAAAACATCAGATATGTTGGCTAAAATGTACACTTGAGCTTTATCGTTTGCCTTTGTCCATCTGTCATATGCATCCCGAACTGTTCGGTTTGCATTTGAGCTGGAGTTTGGAGGACATTCCTCAGTTAAAACAAACCTTAAATCATCAATTACAAGTATTGTGTTTAGGTTTGATTTCCAAGTTGCGTAATTGTCGCTGTTTAATTTCTCAAAAGCGAGTAATTGTACTATTGAGTTTGTCATGCTGTGATATAAAGAAAATTCTATTAGTGATTTGACTAAATCCTGTTTAATCCAATCAGTTTTAGCAAATGTAATAATGTACCCAAAAATTATTAATTTGCAACGATACTTTAGTGAGTTAGAGCAACTGCTACCGAGGGGCAGTCAATCACTCGTTCACTAAACCAAGACATTCTTGACTTAAACACTAATCCCAAAATAACTCTTGTTCCTATAGTGTTTTTAGTTATCGCTATTTTGGTCAAGAATATACTAACTCTTAGTAATTCTTCGTAAGTGTGACCCGCCATTTTCATACCTCAGTGATCGGTCCCAATAATGCTATCTAATGAAAAAGCCAAAGTTGGGAACGGACCTAAGAAATCCTATCCATTTCAAGAGTTTGCGTTGTTTCGACTCCCATGTTACGACCCTAGTTGCTCTAGGGCAACATGCAGGCAGAACATGGGAATCTCATGGTACAACCTAGTGGTGGAGACCATAGGACGTGTTGATATACTTCCTTCTCCCACTAACTATAAATACTTTCTCTATTCACCTTGTTATTGACTCATGCAAATACCTTCTGAATGGAGGACGCTCTCAGGGCAACACGAGGCCGAGCATGAATCTCACCGTGTGAATTTTTCAGAGAGCGTAAAAGGAAAATGATGTATCTCATACAACCTTTTCCTCCCACTAAGTATTTTAGACAGTTGGGTATACTCATTACTTAGGTATATTCCGGCTAATTAAATATAACTTAAGTCTAGATGATTTTTATAAAACTTACCTCACTCAAGCATGCTCATAAAACTGGGCTAACTAAGCTCAAGTACTGGTCCGATCTCCAAATAGTAAGTGTTCCGTAAACCGTCAACTTAAGTACCTCCAGCCTTAGACAAGATTGTGCCAGGTGAGCTTTCTTGTAATCGCAATTTTATAAGACATCGACCTATTTTAACTATTGAAATTGATCGTGCTTGGTTCTTAACCCTAAGTGAGCATGCACTTATCTTTATTATAGATTTTAACGTCTATCTCGTTTTAGGACGTTGAAAATAGCCTATAACATGCATCTAACATGCTTTATATAACCAATTACATAATCTTCCATTCTATGCAATAATATAACAATTTATATCTATCACTCATGGAACTCTAAACATGCATACTATACATTATAACACTTATAACATACTTGGAATGCATGAAACATGCTTAGTCTATAGTGGGGTTTTAAATCTATATGACATACTTTATGCATATACATTTTCTATTTAATTAAAACATACATTCATAATGCATAATTAATTAAGCACACTAAAGTAGATTGATTTTGGCATTTTAAAACAAGCAATTAACTAAATTATTACATTAATAATTTAAAATAACTTGAACCGCTCTCGAGGATCACGAGTCGGGAGAACAAACCCTTAAAACATTGAACCGGACCCCAACGGCAAAAAAACACCCAAACCGCCTCTTCCATCTTCTTGTTCGGTTCAGCTTGCTATCTCTTCCATTTTTGATCAATTACAACCTAAAATGGACTCTGATGACTCCATAAAAATTACAGACCTTTCTTCACTCATTAAAGCCCATACACATTAGGCTTGTTACAAGAATTGTATCAAATGGAAGCATAAAAAAATGCCAAAACCCAAAACATCCACTTTAGCAACAACAAAATTTCATTCATGAAATAGCACCCACCATGCTCAAATTAATGTAAATAAAGTGCCTAAAACTTGCTTTGATACCAATTGATGGTATTAATATAACACATGCGGAAGCAATTTGGATCCTAGGCACTCTAAATACATCAATTATAGTAAATTAGCTAGCATGTTCAAAAGCATTAAAACTCATAGTTGCACTACCCTCACTATAGATATATTTCTGTCCATTTGATATAACCATGATTAGTAAGTCGATCATTCACAGGTTGTTCGTAACTAGAGCTGGGTCAATTAACCGTTTTACCCCTGAAGTTACTTCTTGTTCCTTATTCCTCACTGATCCTCTAATGAAAAATTGGTTTGTGGTCCAACCAGTAAACCTAATCCCTCTCAGGCCAATGAGAGGGTGGGGCCCCTTGTTCAAGACCTGGAGTCAGTGGAACTACCTCTCTTCTATCCTTAAAAGTGGGTAGGAGTGAATTCCATCTTGCACCCCACGTCGCTAGCCATTCACCCAATCTTACCTTTGGAATGGGAGGCCTATTGAGTCGGCGAACTCGAGCCACTCTCACCCATGCAAATCTAAGTATAATTCCGAATAAACAGGAGTTCATGGTTAGCTCAGTATTAAAATCGAGTTACCTAGATCATCGAATGAAAAGAAAATCAGTCTCAACAGTAAACGACATTATAAAGTGAGATTGATTTTCTTCATGGTCCGATCTTATGCAATACTCATTGCATAGGACACCCCCACTCATATGTCTCCACATGTACAATTTAGTGATCACATTGTTTATGTCATATACAAAAGTGAGTCGCATCCATAGTGTCCCTAGGATAAGGTACTCAGCCTTATCCCCATACTATAGATCATTTTGACTATATACTTGAACTTGATCCACTCTTATGTCTCTACATATAGTTCAAGTAACCATACTATAGTCAGAGTGTTCTTAGTTTATTGGATTTAGATTAATAATTGTAAAGTTCACTTTATTCAATAACAATCTTTACTAAATAAACAACAATAATAACTTTATTGAAAATAGAATATGTTTTTTTGTTTAACCCAACAGACGTTGCTTCTCATTGTCATATCAGTTCCCAACAACACGATCCATGCATCATGATATGATGCATGACCATCTTAATTTGCTCAAACACATCTGTTGGGAACTGGCCCATGTGTCGATCTTCTCATTAGGACATTTCAAAGATTCATCCATCTGGATTCTCTGGAGCATCAGACTCTCCCGTGTACATGCTAAACCATTTAGGACATACTTTCTTGATAGTGGGTGCATGATCCAACCTTCGACACATGGGTTGGGGAGCAATATTGGCACACCTATGCCATCTCTTACTTTCTTGTTTCTTTCATCAACAATAAAAAAATGTTATCTATTTTAAGATTAAGATTAATCATTAGCTCAGGCATAAATTCTAACTTGGAAAAATATGCAAATAAAGGTCACATTTTATGGGACAAGGGTAATGTGCCATTGAAACTATATCACAATCCTCACTCAAATTTTGTTAAACATGTCATTCTCTAATAATCATGCCAAAAACTTGATGATGGAATATAAAATTTTCAAATGACTCATAGTGTTGAAGGAATCATCATTTTCAAATGACTATTGTGATTGGTGGCATTTGTTGTTACAAACCTTGAAGGATGTGAATCTAAGAACGATCATTAAGGTCATATATTGTGTCTTCTTCTTCAATGATGGAAGTTGAAGACGCTAAACGGACTGAAGCAGCCTCTTGAAGAATCTTTTAAAAATCACCTACCGAAGATGTCTGGGCTAAAACTGCTAGTAGCCTAGACATTGAGTTGAGAAACTCATAGTTTTTCCTTTGTGGCAGATCTGGTAAATGACTATTTTTCGAAAGACATATCAAAACTATTTACTTCTTGTTAAAGGATTGTCATATCCTTTCTGCCCTCATGTTTGATGTTCACACAGAGAACCTTAACATCTCATCAGATACTCACTTCATAGTTGTCATTTTGAGTATATTTTACAAGTTAACCATCAAATGTCTCACCCACAACTCTTAGATCTTTTCCAAAAGGATTTACTATGCTTATAGAGGTAAATCTAGAGAAATCGTCAACCTGTTTCCAAAACCCTTTCATGGGATCAGATTAATAAGAATTCTACCTGGATCCTTAAATATGTGAGCCTTCCAATCATCGAACATGATGATGGAACATGATGATGATGGAAAGATCCACAATTTTCTCAAATCATCGAACATGATGATGGAAAGCATAAAAGTAAAATTCAATGAAAATTAAATTTTCTTTCCAAAGTTAAAAGACAGAATAAGGAACAGACGCAAAACATTTTAAAATAAAAGGGTTGAGATGACGGGTGAGGTTAGTCTATGGCACCTACTCCAGAGTCCGCTCCCGACTTCAACCAGCTCCTTATTACCTGGAAAAAAAATGGAGAATGAGGAATGAGTACAAGATTCAGTAAGTAGCCTACTCGTAGGCTCCTAATCGTGTCCTTGATATGCTAGGGTACCACATTCTTTATTCTTGCTTGTTCTTGATCTTGTTCTTATTGTAAGTACTTAAGCCCCTTTAATTCTTGTTCTTGACTTTGGGTTCTTATCTTGATCTTTCTAGAGGACCTTGGTTCTTAAACCCTAAAACCTTGGTTTTCCTTTAAGGGCCTTAGTACTATGGTTTTTGGTTCTTGGTCCTTTGTTCCTAGTTCTTGACTTTAGAACTAGGATCTTGATCCATGTTCTAGTCCTTGATCTTTCTCTTGTTCTTGGTACTTTCTTGGTTCTTGTTCTATTATTGATTCGTTCTCCAAGACACTCCCCCTAGGATTTACGGCACTAGACATGTACCTGACAATCCTATGTCCAAGGCTTCATGCGTTCCAAGCGACACAGCTTTAACCTACGTCCAAGGCTTCATGCGTTCCAAGCGACACAGCTTTAACCTACGTCCAAGGCTTCATGCGTTCCAAGCGACGTAGTCTTACCGCATCTTAGGGCTTGCCCTTCGAAATGGTCTGCTTAACCTATGCCCAAGGTTTCATGCATCCCAAGCGGCATAGTCTAAAAACCTACATCCAAGGCTTCTTACGTTCCAAGCAATGTAGTCTTAAAACTACATCAAGGGCTTGCCCTATAATACAGTCTGCTTAACCTATGCTCAAGGCTTCATGCGTTCCAAGCGACACAGCTTTAACCTACGTCCAAGGCTTCATGGGTTCCAAGCGACACAGCTTTAACCTACGTCCAAGGCTTCATGCGTTCCAAGCGACGTAGTCTTACCGCATCTTAGGGCTTGCCCTTCGAAATGGTCTGCTTAACCTATGCCCAAGGTTTCATGTATTCCAAGTGGCATAGTCTAAAAACCTTTCATGTATTCCAAGCGGCATAGTCTAAAAACCTACATCCAAGGCTTCTTACGTTCCAAGCGATGTAGTCTTAAAACTACATCAAGGGCTTGCCCTATAATATAGTCTACTTAACCTATGCCCAAGGCTTCATGCGTTCCAAGTGACATAGTTTTAAAACCTACATCAAGGCCTTGCCCTATAATACAGTCTTCTTAACCTATACCCAAGGCATCATGCGTTCCAAGCGACATAGTCTGAAAACCTACATCCAAGGCTTCTTACGTTCCAAGCGATGTAGTCTTAATAGTGCATCAAGGGCTTGCCCTATAATACAGTCTGCTTACCTACGCTCAAGGCTTCATGCGTTCTAATCAACGTAGTCTAAGTCATGAGCATGCTGTACCGTGGGAGGTCTTAAGAGGTTCTTGATTCGTGGCTAAGGTAACTTACTCTCTTCTTGTTCCTCCGTGACCTTAGACTACTCCCCTTGATAGACCATAAAGGTCCCTTGCTCGGTGCATACTTGAACATGGCATCTTGCAAGTCTGCAGAGCATCTCTAATAGGTGAGGGAAACTTGAGGCATGACATCCTACAAAGGAAACATGGTGCAAGGCATCCCACCTAGAAGAGGAATTCTTGGGCACCGCTTGGTGGGAGGTCATGGGTCACTTTGGATATGATTAGAGTATTACCTAGCATTCTTGAGTTTTTGTTTCTGAGTTTGGGGACCTTGATCCCTCGTCCTTGAGTGGTACCTAGCATTCATCTTACTTGGGTAGTTGTATTGTGTGTTGTGTTCTTGGTTCTTAATCTTGTAAGTTTCTAAGGTCCTTAATTCCTTGAGACATAAGTTGTAACTTGTATTTGTAACCATATGAACCCATCTTAGTGTAAGTTGTTCTAGAAGGTCATAGATTCTTAGGGAGTTCTTTAGAGGGTTCTAGAAGAGTCTGAAGTCTTGTGGTGTTTCCTTTAGGTGTTTCTTGGATCCTAACATGGTTTAGGTTCCAAACTTACTCCAATCAACTTGAAACCTCAAACTTATCTTCATGTCCTTCATAATCGACCATCTAAGAAGTAGCAAATCATCTGGAGCACGTATAGACCTTGAAATCTCATAAGAAGTCCTAGGGACATTTTGGTCATTTCACCCCTAATTCTTGGTTTTGCTACTTAACGTATTCCAATGCCTTTCAACTTTACCAAATCATCAAACATCATAAAATAGGATCTACTTCAGGGTTTCATAGCATTTGGAGGTCATCTAGGTCATAAATTGTAGGTAGATATCCTTAGGGGCATTATGGTCATTTCGCACCATTTCTT